CAACTCTTTGCTATTCTGAACAAAGCCACAATAAACATGGGTGTGCATATACCTGTTTGGATGGCAGTTATGGTTTCTTTAGGGTAAATTCCCAGTAGTGGAATTGCTGGGTTAAATGGTATTACTGTTTGCAACTTTTTAAGAAAGTGCCATACAACCTTCACAGTGGTTGCACCATTTTACACTCCCACCAACAGTGAATAAGGGTTCTAGTTTCTCCACATCCTCACCAGCATTTGATTCTTTACAACTTCCAATTCTCATAGATTCATACTTCATACATTCCATATTCTTTTTATTAATAGATTGTTCCAGCTGTTTCTCCTCACACTGATTCATGCCACAGCAACAAATGAAAGTTCTTCATTTTCATTGGCTGAAAGCTTTACTCCATCCTCAGAAGCATTAAGGTAGACTCTACTTTGAGGAGGCAGCTCTTATCTAGCCATATTTTGAAGGCTTTCCAACCTGAGCACCTCATCTCCTATGGCATTGAATCAAACAATATTATAAAAATACCCTATCAAATAATGATACAAAAACTGTATCAAACTGTATGAAGCAATATTAATACTGTTTTCATGAACTCATCATTTCAGAAGTAGAAGACTAGTCTTGCTTCACTGAAACCAGTTCAGCATGTGTGTACTTGCTGGTATTTCAAACACTGGTGGCATAACTTCCAGCATCAGAACAATATGCAAGGCACTACAGTCAACAAACTGACAGACAAGTGGTAAAATAAGAGGATCAGCAAGAAAGAAGAAAATTCTCAACAGAGTGACCAACCAAGTGGCTTCAACAGTCAGCTCAAGGACAGCAGTGATTGTGAGGATGGTGGAGGACCAGGCAGTACTTCATTGTTGTACAAGCAGTTATTATGAGTCAGGACAGACTTATTGACACTTCACAACCCTACAACCATGTGAGTCAGGAGTAGCCTCTAGCCTGTTGCTTGAGCCATGGATTTGAAATTGAAACTTGCCATCTTCCACAAGTACATGAATATGTCCTTGAAAGAGAGAGAGAGAGAGAGAGAGAGAGAGATGGATAGATACATATGGATACATAGAGATATTATGTATAATTTCACTGGCTTTGCTGCCGTAGAGGAAATGGCCCAAGACATTTCATATGGATAGTGTTCCTGGGGAAATAAAATTGAGTTTCCAGAATTGCCTTGTAATTCTAGTACTGAAGAGAAATTATGTCCATTTGGAGATTGACATGCACCTGATATAGGCCATGGTCTTTGCAATCACTTGCTATGTGTGAGAGAGCTGGACAATGACTAGGGATGACAGAAGGAGAATTGATACCTTTGAATTGTGGTGTTGGAGAAGAGTATTGAATATACCACGGACTATAAAGAAAACAAACAGATTCATCCTAGAGAGGGTTAAACCAGGCTGCTCCTTGGTGGCAAGGATTCTGAGGCTTCGTCTGACATATTTTGTACATGTTGCAAGGAGGGACCAATCCTTGGAGAGGGACATCATGCTTGGGAGGGTGGAGGGACAGCGCAGGAGGGGAAGGCCCTCATTGATTCAGTGAGTGGGGTAATGGGGGTAGGAGTGTCAGAGACAGTGAGATTAGCACAGGATAGAGCAGAGTTTAGGGTCACTATGAGTTGTAAGAGACTCAACAGCACATAACAACAACAACAACAGGTCTTAAAGATACTAATATTAAGGGAGGTCTAGCGGCCTAATGGCAAGAAACTGCACTGCAATCCCACAGGTATGTGGCTCGAATCCACCAGACTCTGCTGGAGAAGGAGGGGCAATCTCCTGTACCAGTCAGATCCGATTTGATGGTACACACAAACAAAATGATAATAAAATTTAATAAAAAAATTTTTTTAAGATACTAATGTTGACCTGGTAATAAAGAGGACAGTGCTAGCCTATGGTATGAGCTAGCAATAGAATTATGCAAAATATCACCATCATTTGGATCAAATATTTGTGAGACAAGACTCAAGGTAGTTGTGTACTTGACACCTGTCAGCCTTTTTGATAGACTGAGAAATATAGGTAGACTGGCTGGTTGGTTCTATTAGTTGTGGTTGTTGTTGTTAGGTGCCATTAAGTATGACTCCTAGCGACTCTATGAACAACTGATGTGAATCCTATCCTGTGCCATCCTCACAACCTCTGACACTCGAGCCCATTGCTGCAGTCACTGTGTCAGTCCACCTGGTTGAGGGTCTTCCTGTTCTTCACCAACTTCTCACCTTTCCAAGCATGATGGTCCTTTTCCAAGGAATAGTCTTCTTAGCCACATGCCCATAGTTTGCAAGACAAAGCTTCACCATCCTTGCCTTCCTAGGAGCACCCTGGCTCCTTGCAACTTGCTTGCTGTGAGGAGTACTGGCAATCCCAGTGCACTTAATTGTGCTCATGAAAAATCGATACCTAGACCAAGAGGCTGTTGTGTGAACAGATCAAGGAAACATTCATGATTTTAAATTAAGAAATATTAAGAAAGATGTGCATCAGGGTTGTATCCTCTCTCCATACTTAATTCAATCTGTATGCTGAGCAAATTGTTCAAGAAGCTGGACTCTATGAAGAAGAATGTGGCATCAAGTTTGGAGGAAGACTCATCAAAAACCTTCCATATGCAGATGACATAACCTTGGTTCTACTAGACAAAGTGGAAAAAAAGAAAGGAATGAGCTTAGGGCTTCAAAATCACAGCTCAAGAATCCAGAAAAGATCCTTGACCTTGAAGACAAAGATTCGACTCTCTGCTCCTCATTGATCCAGATTGCCCTCTCTTCTTGGGTACCCTCAGCCGCATCCCTGAGACACGATGGTGAAGGTCAGAGTAAACAGATTTGGCCGCATTGGGCGCCTGGTCACCAGGGCTGCTTTTAGCTCTGACAAAGTGGATGTTGTCACCATCAATGATCCCTTCATTGACCTCAACTATATGGTCTATGTGTTCCAATATGATTCCACCCATGGCAAGTTCAACGGCACTGTCAAGGCTGAGAATGGGAAGCTGGTCATCAATGGGAAAATCATCACTGTCTTTCAGGAGAGAAATCCTGCCAACATCAAGTGGGGTGATGCTGGTGCTGAGTATGTTGTGGAGTTCACTGGTGTCTTCACAACCTTGGAGAAAGCTGGGGCTCACTTAAAGGGTGATGCCAAACATCTGCTCCTTCTGCTGATGCCCCCATATTTGTGATGGATTTGAACCATGAAAAGTATGACAACTCTCTCAAGATTGTCAGCAATGCCTCCTGTACCACAAACTGCTTGGCTCCCCTGGTCAAGGTCATTCATGACAACTTCAGCATTGTAGAGGGACTCATGACCACAGTGCATGCCATCACTGCCACCCAGAAGACTATGAATGGTCCCTCTGGAAAGCTGTGGCGTGATGGCCGTGGAGCTGCCCAGAACATCATCCCTGCATCTACTGGCACTGCCAAGGCTGTGGGCAAGGTCATCCCTGAACTGAATGGGAAACTTACCGGCATGGCTTTCCATGTCCCCACGCCCAATGTGTCAATTGTGGACCTGACCTGCTGTCTGGAGAAAGTTGTCAAATATGATATCAAGAAAGTAGTAAAGCAGACATCAGAAGGGCCCCTCAAGGGCATCCTGGGATACACTGAAGACCAGGTTGTCCCTTGTGACTTTAACATTGACACCCACTCTTCCACCTTTGATGGTGGGGCTGGCATTGCTCTGAACGACCACTTTGTCAAACTTATTTCCTGGTTTGACAATGAATTTGGCTGCAGCAACAGGGTGGTTGACCTTATGGTTCACATGGCCTCCAAAGAGTAAGAGCCCTTTGGACCACCAGCCCCAGCAATAGCACTAGGAGAGAGAGAGAGACCCTCAGCTGCTGGGGAGTCCTTGCCCCAACTTGATCCTCCCACACACTAAGAATCTCACATCCTTGGCACAAGTTTCCATCAAATCCCCGAGAAAGGGGAAGGGCTTGGAGAGCCCATCTTGTCGTGTACTGTCAATAAAGTACACTATACTTAGCAAAAAAAAAAAAAGAAGTCAAAGATTCTCACCACTGGGACAACTGGCAGTAGTACCAGGATAGATGTGGAAGAGATTGAGGTTGTTAACAATTTCAGCATGCTTGGCTCCACAATCAACACTCTTAGCACCAGCCATTAGGAAATCAAAAGATGAACTGCTGAGGAAGTCTGCTGTCAGAGACCTCTCTAAAGTACTAAAGAGCAATGATGTCAGTCTAGGGGCTAAGGTGTGCCTGACCCAGGCCATGGTCTTCACAATTACACTGTTATGCATCAGAGAGCTAGACAATGACTAAGGATGACAGAAGAATTGATGCTTTTGAGTTGTGGTGCTAGAGAAGAGTATTGAACATACCATGGACTGCCAAGAAAACAAAAAGGTCTGTATTTGAGAGGGTGAAACCAAGTTTGTCCTTGGATTTTGAAGCTCTGTCTCGCATACTTTGGGCATGTCAGCCTTTGAAGGAGGACATCATGCTTGGAATGGAGGAATGACAGCGCAGGAGAGGACGAACCTGGAGGAGGTGGATTGATACGGTACCTGAGGTAATGGGAGTAGAGGTGTTGGAGTGAGACTGGCTCAGGATAGGGCAGGGTTCAGAGCTGTTGTACATAGGGTTGCTAGGAGTCACAGGAGACTTGATGGCACATAACAATAACAACTCTCTAACACATGAGATTGCCATGAATCAAAATCAACTTGATGGCAGTGGGTTTGAGTTTGTTTTGGGCTGGGGTATTTTTATGTCTTGTGTTGGAGGAGTGAACCCAGAGCAATATTAAAAATGGACCCATTTTCAGTTTTCATGACAAAATATTTCCAAGACTCTGATTAAACATTCTTTATTGGATGTTTTAGTGTGCACTGCACTACAAGAAGTTGCCCAACCAACACATCCACCCCTTCATCAACCCTAGTTAAAGTGCTCTGAGCATGTCTTTTTAAAGGACTCAGGGGAGGCGCAATCATTAAACCATTGTCTATCTAACCCTCTTTCTCCAACCATTCTCTATATGCCCCAGCATAGTTGCGAGCCCTGTGGAGACAAAGAGCGTGAGGGTGAGAGAAGGTCAGGTCCTAGAGTCCCCAGACATCCCCAACTTAGCCATCCACACCTCCTCCATACCCTTTGTATCCAAGGCGCTGAGCCAGCTTTGCAGCAAGAGAGCCCCGCTTGCCTATCTGACAGAAGAAAATAAGGTTCTCATCTTCCAGCTTTGGCTTCTCGGCAGAGTACAAAGCCTGGAAAGCAGCTGGCTCCATCTGCAGGGCATTTTCCAACTCGGACACTGGGAGGAGGAGTCAAGAAGAAAGAATGGAAAGGAGGCAGGGAGGGCAGGGCCCCGGTGATCAAACAAATCTTCAGTTTCCAATGCACACAGTGTGTCACCCCACCCCCCCTTCACTACCCACACCCCCAAAGTCAAAGTCAAGAGCAACTACTCAGCTAAATCACTTTTGAAAATGAGTCAATAACTAGATCATGAGGAGGGAAAGCTCAGGCACACAGCCTCAGTGAGGTCAAATGATCTACCCTACTCCTCACTGCCTATTATCCACTAAAACTGGATGGGCCAGTTTCTATGCCAAGAGCCACCTCCAATCAGCCCTTCTCTAGGGAAGTTTAAGGATGGATTAAGGGAAATTAGGACCCCATGACCAGTGCCTCGCCCATTCCACCCTACAGAAGGTCCGTCTATTACTCCACCAGTCTCTCCCCTCTCAATCCCCTACCCGGGATGTTAAGGGCCCCTGGAATGGTCCCAGCTGCAGCCTCCTCCCGAGATCGCACATCAATGAGGCAGGCACGGCCCGAGGATAGAAGTGAACGGAGTTCAGGGAGCAAGATTGTGGACACTGAAAAAGGCAGCACCAGAGACATGCAAGGAGAAAAGCAAGGCACAGCGTTTGAGATCCCCTCACCTGCAATACATTATCCTGCTGGGGAGGGGTGCATGTGTACCTCTCAGATACGCCCCTTCATACACCTCCACCCGTTTCCACTCGCTCCAAAGCCACAAGGAGAATGAATTAAGGTCCCAGGGCTCCCGCAGGTACCTCCAGCCATGGTACTGCAATTGCAAAATCCCAAGAAGGCAACACCAACTCGCCTAGTAGGTTCCAGCAGCATCTCCCCCGCCTGCTTCCAGAGACAAGACCAAGACCGGAACCGGAAGCAAGGCACCGCCTCCGCACCGCCCCCACAGCACCTGCTCCGGGTGCACCGCCCACATCACAGCTCACAGAGGAGTATTTGAGATGGACCAGGGTTCAAGGTAAGGAGTACTGGAACCACGCCTCACATTAACTTGGCCCAGCCCACAGTGGTCAAAGGACAGGGTCACCACCACCCCCTTCAGCCCTGGGGCCCACAAAACAAGCAAAAAATGAGACCATTGTAGTTTTAAACAATTTTATGATTAAAAAAAAAAAAGAAAAAAGAAAAGGAAGGAAGAAAAGAAAACACCCCCAACAAGGGGGAAGGCCCCAAGTGGGCTCCTGCCTGTTCTCTCCACCGCTCCAGACCTGTCTGCCTGGGCCTTAACTGCCTGCTGGCCAGGTTCCTCTTCCCCAGGCAGCAGCCACTGCTAGGCATCTCTTCTTCCACTTCTTGCTAAAGCCTATTCCCTAGAAGAGCCAGGTCCACACCTGAACCTCAACTCCAAGTGGAAGTGCTGGAGTTCAGACCAAGCCAGAGCGTCACTGGTCAGCAGACCCTGTGCTGGGCACTTTCTAAGCAAGCACAGGACAAGCCCTCCAGTTTCGTGTGTCTGGTATCCAGCATTGAGAGAGCACATGCATTGTGCAAGACGAGCACATGGGTCCAGGGACTGCTTGGTAAGGGTGGGCGAGGCTGTCGGCGTGCATGTCCAAGTGGCTGTTTCACACCACTGCAGGTTGCTGTATCACAGAGCCTCAGTTCAAAGACACACTTTCTGAACTCCCCTGAGTCCCATGCCAGAAGTGGGCAGTGAAGGAAAAGGGCATGGGGTTAGCCTGGTGCTCCTGGGCTAGCTGCAGCTCTCAGAAAAGGGTTGCAGGGCTCAAAGCCCCCAACTTCCCAGAGTTAGTTGCTGTCATTCTTGATGACGACCTCTACTCCATGATGCCGCAACTGAGCTCGAAGCAACAGATTCTTGTTTTTAAGATCTTCCACCTGACATTGGGAGGAGGTAAAATAAGAGGTATGAGCAGAAAAGCTGGCACAACCAAGCTCCTGAATGTATTGAAGATGTCCACTACTGAGAGATACGTGGGGCAGGAAGAACTATAGTGGGCCAAGGGGGGAAAGGAAGGGCTATGCTTCAGGCTGAAATCTGACCTGCTGTCGAAGTACATCATTGTCCAGCTGGAGCTGGTCAAGCCCTTGCAGTTCCTCAGACAATCGGTGGTTACTCTGCCGAAGCTCCTGAATATAATCACAGGCTTTGGACAGAATGCCACCTTTACTCTGAGAGAAAAAGAGAATAAAATTAGGACCAAGATTTACGAGAACTCACTTGGCTTTCCAAAAACACATTAGACAGCATTTCCCTCTAAGGATGGTGGTATACTTTTCCCAAGACACAGGAATCTCAGAGAAGAGACTACTGCCATCTGTGCCCCATTTTCTACTACTTCTGGAAGCAGTAACAGAAAACAGAATTCAGGCACCCTGCCCACTACCAGGGTCTTTCCATGACCTGGCCAGATTTGGTACTCTCCATGGAGCAGTCTGGGATAATTTTGGACAGCTGCACAATCCAATTGTTGATCTTATCTCGACGGCGGCGCTCCACTGTCAGACAAAGAGAAAGCCAAAATGACTCAATCAGAACTTGCCACTGGCCCCAGCATACAATTACTCAGCTCTTGTCACAGCTCCTGGCTTCACACCCTCATCACACCAACCTTCATTATGTTGAGCCCTGCGTTTCTCATCTCGAGTTGTCCGGGGGGCTTCTGACTTCCTGCAAACAGAGCCCAAGATGACCAGAATGAGGGAAAGAAAAGATAGAAGATGGATATTTGGGCAGGGGTAAAAACCCCTCACAGTGCAAAAATCTTCATGGTAATGGACAAGAAACAAGGGTCACTCACGGAGAATAAGGATGGGTCCTGGGAGCAATGGAGCGCTGGCTTCCACCCTGCAACACTTCTTGTGGTGACATCATCACGAAGAACTGACCTATGAAAATGCAGAGCAGCTTCCACTAGGAAACAGGACAAGAACTTTACCAAGCTCTGAGATTAATGTCCTGGGATGCTTCCTCCTGCTGGACTGGCACCTCCAACTCACTACCTGCCCAGACCTTTATGACCGCCTGAAGGGTCATGAGTAATGAGCCACTGCCCACAAGTCATATCCCATAAGCTATCCTCGTCCCTCCAGCCTACCTCCCCACACGAAGCTCACCAGTGCCAGGAGGGGTTGCCTGTCCCAGTAGTGCCTCTGAGCCCTGGGTAGTAACAACAGCAGCTGTACTTCCCGATGTCGTGCCCCCCGCCCCATCTCCCACAGCAGTGCTGGGGAAATAAGTATAGTGTGTCTCAGCAGCTGTCCCCTCTGTGTCAACTGCATCATCACTGGTGAATGCTCCCTGGATCACCGCCTGGGAAGGGGAGAAAAAGAACAAAGTCCAGTGAGTCAGACTCTTCTTCCAATCATCCCACTCTGTAGCTTCTATCCCTTGGAGGAAGAAGGGGGACAATACAGAAAGAGCCTAGTGAAGATCTAGAGACAGGAAGCAAGGCAACTGTAGGTCTTCACCATCTTGAGTTTCACCTCCCTACTACTGGTTCCTTTCTTACTATTACTTAAGAGTTCTAGCCCTAAGGGAGCTCTGGTGGTCTACTGGCAAGAAGCTGCACTACAATCCTAGAGGTACGTGGTTTGAATCCACCAGATGCTCTGCTAGAGAAGGAGGGGTCAATCTCCTCCTATACCAGTCAGATCCAATTTGATGGTACACACACACACAAAAAAAAATTTTTTTTTTAAATTTTTTTAAAAGGAGTTCTAGCCCCCTCCCCAGTCCAAAGCCCCTATATACCTGGGTCATGGATTGGGTGGCAGGGTAACCACTGATGGCGCCAGTGCCTTCAGTCTGGCCATCCAGCTGCCCCTCAGACACCTGGATCACCCTATACATCACCTAGAAATGATAAAGAAAGGGGAAAGAGAAGAAGAGAGTAAGTACTGGGTATCCCAAGAACCCTCATAAGACTTCGCTCTGATAGAACTGTAAGAGAAGTTCTTCAGAGACACAGATTCAGTTATCCTTCTTTCCCCTATAGAGGTTTCAGCATAGTCCCTAGTCCACAAGAATCTCTTCTCCAGACCTCTCCACCTCTACATCCTCTAAGCAAAGTATCCCAAATCAAAACCATATCAGACTTGTTGCCATCGAGTTGATTCTGACTCACAATGACCCTCTAGGACAGAGCAGACCCGTCCTATTGTTTCCAAAGCTATAAATTTAACAGAGTTGTTTTAGGTGCCATCGAGTATGATACACAGCGACCCTATGAACAAAAGATCTGAACCCAGTCCTATCCTGTGCCACCTTCATACTTGCTGACACGCAGAGCCCATTGCAGCAGTCATCATGTCAATCCACCCTATTTGAGGGTCTTCGCCTCCTTTGTTGACCCTCCCCCTTTCCCAGCATCATGTCCCTCTCCAAGGAACAGCACCTCCTAGCAACATGTCCAGAGTATGTGAGGTGAAACTTCATCATTCTTGCCTCCAAGAATGCAATACAGAATCTGACTCCAGCTGCAATCTTTCCAAGACTCTGTTTGTAACAGAGTAGATTGCCCACATTTCTCCTGAGGAGTGGATTCAAACTGCCAACCTTTTGGTTAACAGCTCAACACTCAGCCCAATTATAGTGTTCTTAAGTCTTCCACGACATCTTCAATGACCTCCCTCAATCCCAACCCCAAATCACACCTGCCACCTGGCCCCCTCCCTTACCTGGCCCCCATTCTCAGTTCGGAAGACGTACTTGACGTTGGGGTCAGGGAAAGTGGCAGCTGATTGGATGCTGGCAATAGCCACACTGGTTGGGTCCTCCCCTGTTGCCACTGCACCTGAAGTAAAAAGAAACAGCTCAGTCTGTAAGCTCAGTCTTTTCTCTCTCTGTTTCATTTGCATGTCATTAATAGAAGGAGGGTACACAGGAGATAAGCCATGTAGAAGACAAAGAAGTGACCCTCATTCTCTCACTCACCTTCCTGAATCTGCACTGTCCCCTCTTCTGTTTCAGCTGTTTTCTGCTGCCTATTTGTAAAAACAGGACAAAAAGAAGAGATAAAAGAAATGAATGGGAAGGAAGTTCACTGACCCAGAATTTACAGCTCCCAAACCGAGTGGCATTCCCAAAAGATGCTGGATTAGATTAGAATAACTGCTGATTATTTACTGAGAGTTTACTATGTGTACATAGTTAAGCACTTACCCTGCTCTATCTTTTTTTTATACTAAGAACAGCCCTATAAGTTAAATAGCCCATTTTATACATGGAAAAATAAAGTCACATAGCTAGTAGGTGATGTACCCAGGACATGAATCCACAACTGCTTAACTTCAGAGCTAATGCTCTTAGCAATTTCGCCATTCTCCCAGGCCACCCATCTCCTATCCCAGACCCTACCTCTTCTTCACTCACCCCTTCATCTCTCTGTGAGGGGGTACATCCGAGGAACTTGTCCTTTTCTGGAGGTCTTCGTATCTCTTAACTTACAGCACTGTGTACTAAGTCCTGGTAGAAACCAAGGAATTTTCAGTGAGTCTAGGAACCTTGATTCTAGAACTAGGATCCATGAAAGTATAGCCAAGAATATAACCCAGTTGTCTACAGGGGAACAATCAGTCTCCCTATTCTGATGCTGGGGACTGAGTTACAATGGTTGAAAAGTCACTCCACAAATAGTGTCCCTCACAGCCCTCCATGATAAAGCCTGATGGAGAGAGGATTACTGGATTGGAAGACTGAAAAACAACCTATATCTGGATGGATTATTACTAAAGCTATTAGGACTGTCATGACAGCAGCTTCACGGGGATTAGGAAGGACCATATTAAGACTACCATTATTAAAAAAAAAAAAAAAGCAAACCACAAAGATATCTAGTGGTATAGTGTGTAACACATTCAACTGCTAATGGAAAGGTCATCAGTTCAAATCCACCAGCCACTCTGTGCGAGAAAGATGGACAGTCTCCTACAAAGATTTAACAACCTCAATCCTAGAGGAATGTGGTTCGAATCCACTTCATTCTCTGCTGGAGAAGGAGGGGCAGTCTTCTCCTGTACCAGACAGATCTGATTTGATGGTACACACACAAAAAATAATAAATTTTTTTAAAAATTTTTAAAGAGGAAAGATTTAACAACCATAGAAACTCAAAAGAGAACCAATATATTGTACTGGAACCGACTTGATGGAAGCAATGACCAAAACCATAGGGCCATGGAAACTAGTACTTTTCCCAGTTACTTAAGCGCAAACTGTACGCGAAGAAATCTATTCTCCACTCTAGAGAGGGAAAACCTCTAAAGTCTATTGTCAATGGAGTACCATCTCTTACCACAATGACCAAACTTGATCTCTGAGGCCCATTCTACCGACAAGGCTCTTGTTTTGGAGTTTTCAAATGTAGGTCATTTGTTAGAAACTCTAAAGCCGAAATGTAGCATCTTGAAAACCTCTCTATCTTACTCTTCAAGTCTTCCTGTTAAAACAACACATTTGCTAACATGTTGCCATGACAACTCCAAATCAACTGAGACTCAGAGGGGGAAAGCTGGAAGTTCAGGGCCCTGAAGAACAGACAATGGGGGAAGGGATCCATCCACAAGGTGCCAGCCTCAGGACTCTGACACTCAGAGTCTAAGAAAAACAAAGGACTGAGCAGGCAAAAGCTTCCACAAAGAAATAGCGACACTGGGCAAGGCAAAAAAAAAAAAAAAAACCCACCAAAAAAAAACCCACCACCACCAAAAACAAAGCAGGCAAAATTTTTGTAAACTCTCTCGCTATACTAAACTATCTCTTTCCCAAACTAAATTATCCAAGGAAATCTTCAGCTAGATGCACTTCAAAAATCGAGTGTTTAAGGAAGGTAACAGAAATTCTTAAGGGGGCGATAAGGGAGAAAGGAACTGAAAGTGAAACTGAGAGGAAGTAACACTGTTAAGAGATCCCAGTATCTAAATGGAAGTAACATTTATATTCAGGGACCACCTACCTCTCCGTCCTTAAACCGGAGGGGGAGTTGCCCCTCCCAGCTAGTTGTGCTGGCTGCAGGAAGCAGCAGCACTGAAAGGGAGGGCAGGGCGCAAGGAAGCATCCCTATTATTCACAGCTGTCTGCCAGGGGCAGGATCCGAGGGCAACGGGGTCAGGCTGCTTATTAAAATCTTACTTAGTTGGGCATCTGAAAGCATTTTCTAAGCATTAGGGAATATGCCACACGGAAAAGTGAAAGGATGTCGTGGCGTGAACACTCAGGCAAGAAGGGATCAGCAAGATTCCATGCTAAACCTGGACACAAAGGGGCGAAAAATTCCCCACCAAGTCCTGAAAGAAGGAATGCGACCTCTTTCCGAAGGCCCACCAACCAGCAGGCGCTTTCAGAACCGAGCGCCAGAGAAGCGCGAACCCCCGAGTCCATGCCGTGACTCCGTCAGCCCCTCGCGCTCACCCCGCGCCCCGAAAGCTCCGCAAAGGCAAGAAAGGGCGTCCGGGGGCTCGGCAGGCCTAGAGTCCCCACCCGTGACTCGGCCGCTCGGCGCCCCGGACCGCGGCCCACGGCAGCGCAGCGCAGAAGGGCGGGGGCGTGCGCTGCTCGGGGGCGGGGAGAGCTCGGCCCACAAAAGGGGGGGGGGGAAGACCATGAAGACCCAGGCGCGGCCCCCTCCTGCAAAACAAAGGCTTCCGAGCCAAGAGTTCCGTAACCCAGAAAGCGCAAACCAAATCAGAGCTGCCCTCCCTTGCCAGTCCTACAAAGCTCCTGACTTCTGTCTGGTCCTGCACTCACCCTGCAAGGCCGTCTCAGCTACCGCTTTGCCTCGACCGTCTTCTCCCCCCTCCCAACTCGAGTAGCTCCATAGACAGCCGCTCATGCGCACTCTCAGCCCGCGGCCCTGTTGGTGAGGGGCGGAAGTGTCTCGCAGGACCCGCCCAATTTCCTCAGTCCGTGGGCTGCCTCGCTTCCGGTCGGTCCTTAGTGAAGTTAGAGGGATAGGGGGCAGTGTCGAGTATCACTAGCCTGGAAATTTGCTGTGTTCTGCGTTTCTGCCAGAATGACATTGAACTCGTTACTGTTTTAAACAAGAATAGGAGAAAGACTGATTTACACTAGCATCTTTGTGCTGGCAGGACCTTTTTAGCCTCAGGAAAAGGGAGTGATGAAGCCTTTTTAGATCAGAGAGTGACTTCTGACTCAAACGACATCATTAATAAGGCTGCTTGGGAAGCCATCTTGGGTCAGGGCATCTAATTGAAATGTTTTTTAGGGGAAGATTAGCACAGCTACCTAGGCATACATTTTTTGTGTGTTAGTATCAGCCTTCTCTTACCTAAAGACCCCAAAGGAGCCATTTCTGTGAAAGGATTTTTGTTCCCATCTCAACTGGTCAGAATGACTTTTAATGGATTTGAAGAGATGTGAAGAGCTCGGGCTCTATCTAGATCAAACCCCAATCCCATACCCACCTTTGCCACTTCCTTCTTAGGTCTTTGACAAACCTTTTAACCCAGTCGAGCCTTAGTTTCCTTATCTGCAAAAAGATACCAGTACTAACCTTGCAGAACTGTTAATGGAGTAAATAAAATGATAGAACATAGCACATAAAGTACCTCGTTCCATTATAGATATAGAATGAGCATTATGTAAATGTAAGTTTCTCTTCCCCTTTTCCTGACCACCATGAACTCAGCTCTACTTCCTAGCCACAGGTCTCCATGACAACATCTGCAGAAGAACCCTTCAAACAAACAAAAAAAAGCCCCAACGTTTTGCACAAACATACTGAGGTGATCCTTACCACCCATTATTTTAGTAAGAATAATGAAACTCCACACTATTTACATGTAAAAATACAACTTTTATTCTAAGAAATCTCCCTTTAATGAAGTAGGGTCTTGTTTGGGAAAGCAGTCCCAGTGCCTGAGTGACCAATATTCCTAAACCAAGGCAATAGGAGAGGGCACAGTGATCCGTACCAGGGTCCTTCTTTAAATAGACTGACTAAAGGCAGAGGGTGGGACAGCTTGTCTTGCCAACAAGCACTGAAGTCTTAAAGGAGCTACTTGAACCAGTTCCTCCCTAATCTGAAGTTTAGAAGGTCAGGTATTCAAGAGTCCAGGAACAAAATAGGAATGGACAGCAGGGCAGTGTTTGTGTGGGGGAGACTTTGATTTGGCTGGATCCTTCCTTAGTCATTTTAGCATTCTGTGAGCTTTTGCAGGCTCAGAGGAGATAAGGAACTTTGCTGAATTTCCCCCTCTTTTCTTCACTTTGAAAAAGTTTTAAGTTTTCTGGCTATGTATAATCTCTTTAGTCAAAAACGCCACTCCTTTGGAAAAGATCTTGGCACCTTTCTTAGGACTCTCAGGTAAACAAACTAACCTATGGCCACCCACAATCAAAAAGAGAAGCAGGTGGCCAAAGCCTGTAAAGTTCTACAGCTTGTCAGGGACCATGGAGATTCAGAATACCTGACTGGTCCCCTTTGCCCAGTGTTCTGGCCTTAATGATTATAGTTTCTCACCTTTCCCAGGGTTAGCCTGTGTTTCAAATGCATAGGATCGGCGCTGGGGGCTCATAAGGGGATCAGGGGGGTGACATTCTCTAGGGGGCAGACTAAGCCGACTCCGGTGTCCAGATCCTTCTGTGTCTTCAGATTGGAGATCCAGGCAGCTAAGGGGTCGATGAGCATGATCAGGCATCATGTTACATGGAGTAGTTCTGGGGATGAAGTTGTAGTCTCCACCCCCAGCACAGGTCTGGGTTCTCCGCACTCCCTGTGCCTCAGTTCTCTGGCGGTCCCGGGCCAGGGCCACAGCAGCATCGAAGGAAAGACTGCCCCCATTCTTCCAGGAGGATCGAGAGGCTCCTCCTCCTCGGGACCCCCAAGCCCTCTCCGCAGGAGTCCCATCAAGCCGACCAGGCCTTGGACATGGGTTTGCAGGTGCCACGTGGATCTTGCTACACAGTGCACTGGGCATCTTGGCAAACTGTGGCTTAGGGGGCACCACAGGCACGGAGCGGACCTGTTGGACCTGAACCAGGGTGGAAGCCAGACGCATGCCCACACTGCCAGCTAAGCCAGAGGGACAAGGGCATAGATGACAGCCATCTGAACTAAGCTGCCCTTCAGGCTCCATATCTTCTGGCCGAGGTGGCTTTGGAATGGCCTGTTCCCTTTCAGAGGCCTGGGCATTGCCCCCTTTGGTACTGTCAATCTCCAGGGACTCACCACTGGACTCTTTAGAGAGGGAACCGTCTTCAAAATGGTCATCTCCCGCCCTCTGGTCACCCTCAGCCTCTCCATCCCCACTCTCCCGTTCCTTGTTGACCTCCCCTGCTCGTCCTCCAGATGCTTCTGTGATTTTATCTTCACCATCTCCTTGGACTTCTCTTGATTCCTGGCCCCCACCCCTGCTCTGTCCGTTGACATCATCTTCTCTGGTTCCTTCAGTCTCTTGTGTATGTACAATTTCCCAGCTCTCCTCAGCAACTTGTTTTTGGGCTCCATACTCCAAATTCTGTCCAGATTCTACCTGGGTCTCCTCTCCTCCCTCAGCATCTTTCTCTCGCTCAGACTCTCTTTCCTTTCCCTTGTCTTTGCCATCCTCTCCTTCTGTCTCCTCCTCCATGCTTTTAGCCTCCTCTGCAGTCTCGGTTTCATTCTGACTTTTAAACTTCTCTTCTATGGCCTCTACCTCTTCCCCATTCACATCTCTCAAACTGACCATCATATTCTGGCTTCCCTCAGCCTCCATGCCTTCTTCACCTGACTTTCCAGTCTCTACCTCGGTCTCTAGACTCCCTTCAGCCTCCTCCCTAATGTCCCATTTTTTTCCAGACTCAGCTTTCCTTTTCTCCTCAACTCCCCAGCCTGGCTGCTTTCCCTCAGCCTGCCCTGTAGCTCGTCTTCCACATCCTGCTATCTTTTCTTCCGGATTTCCTAGACCTTCCCAGATTGGAAATGTGGGCTCCAGGAGGGGACTTAGATCATCATAGGCACTCAGGAAGACTTCCTCCCCACTTTCTTCCTCTGCTTCAGGCCTGTGGTCAGCAGAGGCCAGGGAACAGCAGCTGGGAGCCAGGACAAACTGTGACTCATCCAGAGAGAGATCATCCAGGGGTGGCTCCACAGAGAACTCCTCTACCTGAAGGCACAGCATTGTGGCTCAGAACCAAATGGTCATGTTTACCCTCAGACCCCATACCACCCCAAACTCAACAAGGCAGTTTCTTACCTGAGGTCCAGCTCTCAAGAGTTCCTCTAGGTAACCCATCCCTGGGTCATCCTCCCCAGGTGAGAAGGCTGCTCCTGCTATTTCTGCTTTAATCACTTCTCCATCCTCTGCCCCTAACCACTCGTGCTCTGAGCTGCTTGAGTCTTCTAGGAAGGAGAAGGTATCTTGCACTTCCTGGGACAAGGAATCTTCCAAGGCAGAGGCCATATCCCCTGGTCCTGAACTGGCCAAAGGATCTAGGGATGATCTTGACTCTGACTTCTCATCTGTTGGGGAAGAAATAGTCCTAGAATTCCAAAGGTCCAGGCCAGCTTAACCCTTTCCAATGAGGGTCTTCCTAGCACTAATACAGTATGAGCCCTAACACGCTCAACATAGATAGTCCACATGGCTGATCTTCTCAGAGTAATAATTGTGACTATTGGATTGTAACAGTTCTGGTATGTGGAGTTTAATCTTTCAATATGGCTTTCGTAGCCATCTTTTGACTTTGCTACATAGGTGGGCAGGAATATAAAAATAGGATGTGTTAGCCTGTCCACAAGGGGATTGGCTGTGTAACAGTCCACAAAAGAACTGGCTAGTCTTGCCATTATATTGAGCAACCCAGCAGCAGAAGTAGAAACCTGCTCCACCGCTGAAGAAGAAAAATCTTACCACAAAAAGAGCCAGTAAGAGGACCTACAGGACCAACAGCCATAGTAACCACAGCAGAGAACATGAGATGGAGCACCAGAGACCTGACATGAGATAGGACCTTGGGACTGCTACACCATTGGAACCAGAGCTAAGAGCCTTTGCCTAAGTTTGTTGGACAACTGGGGTTGGGAAGCTAATATTGGGAGGACTGAAAACTTTGTAACACTCACCTAAAGCCATGAGGCTCACAGCTAAGGTGCTAGTGAGCACATTTTGGGAGCCATCTTGACTGTGTTATGCTACTAACTTGTATTATAATCTTTTTTACTTCCCTAACATGGTTCTGTGTGGTCTGTGAGTTATCACATCAGATTTTGGACCCAGCAAAGCAGTAAGATTGGTGTTGAGTTGAGTAGAAAAAGGTATGGGAGCACAAGAGACTATGTCTGACCTCATGGGAATTGGTTTTGTGTTATTGATATAGTTGAAGGGGACAGTTCCCTTTTTTGAAATTGGTAAAGGGCAGATATGGCTGTCCTCACATGGCCTTTGCTCTTTTTACATGTTAGCACTGAAGTTAAGGCATTCAGATGTTAACCAAAAGTTTGGCATGTCAAACCACCAGCCACTCCACAAGAGAAAAATGAGGCAATCTACTGCTATAAAGAATCACAGTCTTGGAACCCCTATGGGGCAATTCTACTTAATGGCAGTGAGTAGATTTATAGGTTTCTGGCTATTTTTATTAAGCTCTTCTCCAAAATACTGCTGTTGATCTGAGATAGAGCCCCTCTACTGTGTTTCTGAGGCTATAAATCTTTATGTCTTTCTTCTGCAGACCCTTGGTGGACTTGATCTACCATCCTTTGTGTTAGCAGCCCAATAAGTGTCACATGTTGTCATGAGGGCTCCTTAAGCTCCTCTCAAGTGCCTTTACAGTGCACTCTCTTATTTCCCTAAAAACACCTTACACTGTTGTTGTTGTTGTTGTTGTTGTGTACTGTCGAGTCAAAAGCAACTCAGAGCTGACCCTCCAGTGGGATTTCAGAGGCAATTAATCACACAGGAGCTAATTACCCATCGGTTTTTTGTGGATCAACTGGTGGATTCAAACTGTATGTCCTTGCATTGTCAGTGCAACTCCTTAACACTAAGCCATCAGGGCTCCCTCCTATTACACATAGGACCTATATTATTTCTATTCTGTATATGAGAAAATTGAGGCTCTGATATTAAACAATTGATCCAAGGTTGCAATCAATAAATGACAAAGCCGAAATATAAACCCAACTCTACTTAATTCTGTTATATATAGTATGGACCTTATCAACTATGTTATGCTCCCTTGAGACTTCTCATTGGGGCTACTTAGGGACTGTAGTCACAGCACAGACCAGATCCCAACTCTGGTTCTCTCTAGCTATACTAACAACAAATTGTTTAACCTTTCAAGTTTCACCACTGTAACATAAATATAGTAATACTTACAGCTATAAATTATGAGAAAATGAAACAAACTAACATCTACAAAACATCAACACAGCACCTGGCACAAGGCACCCTTGGTAAATATTAGATGTTGTTATTAAGGTGGTCGTTATTATTTTTTTTTCATACTATTATGTGCTGTTGAATCAGAACCAACTCATAGCTGACCATCCAGTGGGTTTTCAGAGGCAATTACACATAGGAGGAGGTGGCCCATCCTTCTCCTGTGGAGCAACTGGTGGATTCGAACTTCTTGACTTTGGGATTGCAGCACAACTTCTTGCCACTAGGCCACCAGAGCTCTTTGTCTTCAAACTTTGAACTGAATCTATTTTCTGAAATAATATTTTACCAGATAACAAACAGATTAATAAAATAAAGGATGGACTGTGAGAATTGTCCTCCATTAAAAAAAAATCCTATCTATATGAGACCAAAAGATCAACAGTTCCTTTGCATGTTCTATGTGTCTGGCATAGAACATCTTGGGTACATCAGTGGCCTAAAGGTTGCCAGAGATTTTCACTCCAGGAATTTCACACAATCTGATAATATTTCTAGATTCCTCTAACTTCAAACCCAAAAAGACAACTAAAGGCAACTATACTCAAGTACAGAGGGTTGAGGCCTCTCAGGAAAGATCCCAGCAATAGAGCCTCAGCTTAGAGTTCGAGTCCCCTACCCCAGACCTGGGAAATCCCTAGGTCCTTCCTTACCTGGGGGACCGGGGCCTGGGCCAGGACCAGAAGCAGTACTTGGTCGAGGCTGTAGGGCGGGGCATTCAAGTCCACGGGTAAGTCTGGCCAAGGAAACATTGGAGATGATGTTTGGGGGCACATTGAGGATAGAGGTGATGTGCAGGGGAAGGTTGACATTGTAGGGATCTGAGATGTGAACACCAGCACAGCGCTCTGCACGGCTGGTACCACTAGCCCGGGCTGTTGGCCTCCCAGCTCGTGGTGTGCCTGGCTCAGAGTTTGTGCCACACAATGCCTCTGCCTCAGGCTCCTGCTCGCCCTCTGCTGCCTCCACAGAACAGTTCTCCAGGCTCTCAGGCAGCAGCTGGCTCGGCCGAGGACTGCTGGGTCCCATTAGCTCCTCTGGCTCTATTGAGGGGAGAAAGGGTCAGGATGACAAGAATCTCAGCTGTAAAGAGAGCCTAAGGAAGACTAATACACAAGGCCCAGCTTCCTCCACCACCTCAAACTCTCCAGCCAGCCAGCAGAACACAGTTCACTCCACCTGTACATGCTCAGAAAACCACTTCCATTTTCTTCGGATGCTGTTACTGGTCATCACTGACACACCCATTCACAAACACACTGTCTTTTCATCCACAGTATACTGTCTCAGATACATGTATGTACAAACACACACTCATGAACATACACATAGACCCTAAGTTCATCACTGTAACCCCAGAATCCAGAACAGTGGCTGCTATACAAATCAGTATGCACTAATCAAATATTTTAAATATTTTTTTTAAATCACTGAATACAGGTGGGCACATAATTAGAGACACAGAGAGGAATGCACACACTGTGGTATCAGCCGTAACACTTACTGTTTCATGAGTGCATTCCTAGACATGCATGCCCCAGATGCATAGACTCATACTGCTGGGCACAAAACCGCATGGGCATATGCACACGGGTACGTAAACACCAATACTCACCATCATTGGTCCCAGTCGCAGCACTCAGGGAGTCCATGCTTTTGGCTGGCCGAAGTGTCCCCTTATCAGACTTGTCCTCTAAAAGGCAAAGATGTTCATAGAGCCCAGATCTCACACATATCAACAGAGTTCATCCCACCTCTCCCCAGACATACCCCTCTCTTCGGCCCCTCTTGGAAGTTTGCGCTTTGTCTCATGGCCAGAGCGACCCAAGTTGAAGATGGATCTCCATTTCCTGACCTTCAAAGACCCTTTCCTCCTGCAGAGAATGGGGAAATAATTTGGAAATAGAAGCCCGTGTTCACTGCAGGGGAGGAGGGCCCAGGAAAGAGGCCTTACTTATGCTCAGCAATCTCAATGATGGTGTGGTAGGGCCGGATCTGTGGAGGTCCATCCTGCAGGATGCTGGGCAAATTGTAGGGCAGGGACCTGGGTGTAAAGTCCTCAGGACTGTTTGATACCCGAGCCCCTGAAAGAGATCGCCATCCACCTTCCACTTCACCACCTGGGGTGGTGGTGGGGGG